TGCTATCCTGGCTGAGATCAGCTAACAGCACTGATCAGGTATTGAACCAGACATCCCATTCGACTAACAACCAGGCACCTCCTTACTGCTTGGTAAACAGAGGCGTGCAAAGTAAGAAAAGGAACTTTCGCCCCTCCCGGGAATCGTACCCAGGTCCTCTCGCTTGCGAGGTGAGCGCTAATCACTACGCTACAGGAATATAAGGGTATAGGAGGGGCGGAGGCTTGTGTGAAGTGTAAACACAGGCATGGATTCGTTGAGCCTAAAAAGTAATATTATTTTATTTCTATGTAAATCTGTGCTCCTCCCTACATCCCCCACCAATTTCTTCTCTCGTCCTTTCCTCTGCCTCTTCCTTGACATTAGCAGCTTTCGTTGAACTAGCAAGGCTTGTTGACTAGGCGTTTGTGTTGTAGTGCTTTCTGAATGTGTATTGTTCCATAAACAATGCTTAACTTGTGGCTTTTCACCTGCTCAAAGCAACAGACCGGGTTTGACCAGGTGTCACTGCACCAGTCAACAAAAACCAGGTCAGGCACTTAACCCCCCCACCCGAGGACTGGAGCAACATTGCTTCGGCAAACTCAAAAGATACAACAAAGTTACCGTTTGCTTTCAGGCTGTTTTTTTAAAAAAACATTGCAGCTCTTTTATTCTTTACCCCGCTTCATGAGTTCTCTTTCTTGCCAAATACAGTATTGGAATTAATGTTTAATCGAAAGTTAGAATGAGCAAAGTCTGGAATAAAGGTTCTTTTATATTTAGTGTCTGCAGTAGCGCTTTAATGGTTCGGGTACATCAGAGGAACGATATTACAGCCAGTGCAGGGTGTGTTGGCACATCATGGTCCGAATTTGGTATTTTAATCTTTTTCTAATTTAGCACACTAGGAACTGTGTAACACAATGGGTGGTGTGGCCCTGGCATTATGCCATGGCTTAGTATTGTTTAAAGGAGAGCAATTTGAAAAATAGTCCCTGTAGAGATAAGGGCCCTATTATCATCCTAGATAGGATTAAAAGATAAGATTGCAGAGAAGGAAAGAGGGGAAACTGGACCCCTTCATTAATTATAAGGAGCGACTATTCCTCCCGAGTGCAGAATTTTAAAATGCACATTACTGAGTACATTTCTCCCCCAAAATGTACAGTCAATTCACTTTACAGTATTTTTGTGAAACACTTTGAGAGGTATTGAAGTTGTGACAAGGTGCAATATCAAATGGAAGGATTATTATTGTAAATCATGGTGCATTTAGAATTATCAAGCGCATTGGGGCATCCTCCCAAACTGAAAGGCACTGTATAAGTGTAAATTATATTGCATTTGGGGGCACAAAATTTGGGGGAATGCTAAAATAACAACAACAAATTACATTTATATAGTGCCTTTCACATCGGGAGGACATCCCAAAGAGTTGAAAAGTAGGGCCTTTGATACTGATCTGAGTCAAGACATTACTAAATTCAAAGAAGGTCTATCATTCCTGTATTTCTTAGCATTGCACTACTGGGCTTCCTTCCTGGTTAAAAAAAAGTACTATACGTCAGTCCCCTAGAGGTGAGCTGGGAGCTGAAGCATTTGCTTCAGGATATTTCTCTGAGATTAACTGATAGTTATTTTTTTCATGACAGATCTCAAAGTCTCATTTCTTAACTTCTTTAATAAAGTATCCAAGTCACGCAACAACAACTTGCCATTGTATAACACCATTCACATAGAATTACGTCTCGAAGCACATTGTCTCTATTGTCCCATGCATAGTCAATGTAAGAAAATTCCAGCCAATAATGTTTTAAGTCAATGATATATTTGTAAACTTGATTTTGTGATTAATTCAGAAATATTCCAATACTGTATCTACAGGGTGTTCACAAAGTCCTGCTACCTCCATTTTTTTTTGCACAGGACACTGACCAACAACTGAAACTTGTGGAAGAATGATAATAATTGTACTGAGAAGTACTGATTTGTATTCAGTACAAGTGTTTAACTGTATTCAGACGTCCAGAGGATGTCCATTTTCATGGCAGATAATGATCCATCACAATGTTCGGTGCAACATCTTCCGTACCGTGGATGGAGTGACGAGCAAGTCACTGGTATCAGATATTGTTACATTTGACTCATCTGTAACAGCAAATAAAAATTCATAGTAAGAAAAAACAGGATAACAGGACTTTGTGAACACCCTATAGTACACACATGAAACACTGGTTTAGTAGCCACTGATTCTGTTAAGAAGTTAAACTGTCACCGTTAAAAGCCTGTTGTGTGCCCCTGAATACACAGAAGATGCAAATAGCATAGTTTTTTGTCATTTAATTCAGTCACCCAGATGTGCTGCTACGTTGACCTCAACTAAAGTTTTAATGTGAGCAACTAGTTATCAGATAAGATTGCCTATGGCCATTGTGTCATACAATTCGGGCATTCAGAACCTTAAAAGTAGTAAACTAGTTGTCAAACTATTCAACAGATTAACCTCAAGATGACACCTTTGTGTAAATAGGACTGTTGATACGACTGACAGAAATGAAGGTACATGCATAGGACACAGATAAAGGCTGCAACAAAGCTAAGCCATGGTTCCTGAAACTCTGGGTTGGTGAGGAGGGGGTGGGCAGTTTTGTTTTTATAATGTTCAGAGCCACTTTTTGTTAAATTTGGTCACCTTTAACCAACAGCAGATAGATAATTACTCAGAGGCTAGTTAGTGATCCACATCGTTTTCAGGAATGTAGGGTTTTATTAGTGCGGAAGAATATACGAGTATGGACATGACTAAGTTAACATTTGGCATTGCCCTTTGGTTATTCAATCCAGTTCCATTTCTCTCTTTCTTCATCAGGCATCAGGGAAGTCTTTGACTTGAAGATGGTGTCTGACTCTGGCGGTTTTATCTTTCATAGCCGGATGAATGTAAACTCTAAAAATACAACTTGAGTTATGGAACCACAGTCACACAGCCATAAAATGTTATATCGTGAGATCTGAGTAAGAAAGAGAAGGGAACCAGAAAGGTTGCTATGCGTTGGGAATGGGCTTCCTATCTCCTGTCCTTGGGCTGCAACTTAAAAGTTAATTGGAAGGGGGAAGCATACAGTTCATATTTACTTCCCCAGCCAGCTGACCAGTGAAAGGGGGTGGTGAAAGATTGAGAGGAAATATCACTGTCTACTCCTTTTTTAAAAAAAATTCAAATGATGCATTCTAGCCCAATGTGGTATCCATTCGTCCAAATGCGTTTCGCCCACAAAATATGCAGTCAATCCACTTTACAGCATATTCTGTCAAGCGCTTTGAGACGTCTAGAAGACGTGATAAGGTGCTATATGAAATGCAAGGATTATTATTATTGGACTAGCACACAAGCACACACCATTCCTGTACTGTTGGGATATGGGTTAAAATTCAACCCGGATTGATTGATGAGGATGCAAATGTCCACACAGCCAGCTGTAAATGTATGAAGTGACGGTTGACATCGTTTTCAGCACAGGCAGTCCACAAATTGGCTCTTGACTTGTAATATTACTCATTGGAGGCCATGAGGATGGTGGCATGGAAAGTGGAAAATATCACACTGGTTCATCAGGGACTTTCTCCGAGGTTCAGGCTAAGGCATGTTATTGGAAACAGAGTGGAGAGAACTTTATTCTGCGACTCTCTCGTAATGCAGTTCACTGCTGCCTCTGTGCATTTCCCAGAATGAAACATGCACAGTACTTCATTTCTGAAACCTCACTTCCATTACTTTGGTGATCAATTGACCATCTTTTGGGAATTTCAATTTCGGGTCATTTTCTTGAATATTCTGGTGTAGATTGAAAGTGGCGACATGACTTTGATGATATCACAGGGCCTGCCCTCTTTGCAAACCTCCAGACACTGTTTCAAAAGTTACAATTCTTTGCCATTTATATTAATAATAATAATAATAATCCTTGCATTTGACATAGCGCTTTTCACGTCGGGAGGACGTCCCAAAGCGCTTCACAGAACACACTGTAAAGTGAATTGACTGTATATTTGTGGGCGAACGCGGCAGCCAATTACGCACAGCAGTGTCCCACAAACAGTCGTAGATTGAAAATGACCAATTTATTATTGTTTTTGGTTTCTGGAGGTATTATTATTAGGCTTTGTGTGGAGTAAGGAAACTTGCCCAAGGTTTCGCCCTCTGCCTGGAATTGAACTCAGGTCTCTCACTTACAAAGCGAGTGCTCTAACCACTGAGCTACAGGACTCCTCTGAAATTAACTCTGAAATGTTTGAAAGGATCACCAACCCTTTTTTATTTTTAAAACGATAATAGGCACAATCGAAGCTACTGTAAACACAGAAATGACGAGTGTGTTACTTCTTTGTATTTTTCGATATCATTTTCTAATGTTTTGAAATATGGTAGGTCAGACTTGTTTTTTTTAACCTTCTATTTTCTTTCGTGCTGTTTATACTGGAAACACTGTTGCCAAGTGCTCTTGACCCTGCAATAATGTCATCCCACTGGGCTGCGTTTGAAAAGACTTTGCTTGCACAGAAATGCATTTCGTAAGCATTTTAGAGTTTTTTTTGTTACCTTGATGTGATTGAGGCCGTCAGCATAAAAAAGTGTCATGCAGCCGGGTTATCGAATAATTACAAACATTGTATGTGATTTCTAACCAAACCGAAAGATAACATGAGAACTTTTAATGATACTTTGCATAATACACAGTGCACTATTGTCACAGTCCAGTACACAGCTCTATTAGGTTTCCAAGCTACTCAACCTACTCAGTGTTAACGAGCAGTGCCTCCTAAAAGGAGCATTTGTCAGTGCGTTGCAGGACTTGAAACAGATCTGAAAGCTGTGGTAAAATGATGCCATTGCTGTCCGTAAGTTGAAGCCCACGCCATGGCGAAATCGATCCCCTACACCATGAACATCTGCATTTCCTGTTAGATGCCTTTAATGGGCAAATGTATTCAGCAGCGTGATGTCTATCACCGTCCCCGACTACGTGCCTCAGCGCTGTGTAATAGGTGTCTCGTAGGACACTTTATCCGATGGCAGCGCCTCTTTAAGAAGTCTCTGTGACTGAACATGCCTGCAATCGATAACGTGATTAAATAAAGAAACTCCTGCGGCGACTGCAATAAGTCAAGGCAGGAAAAGTACTCATTGGACTGGAGGGGGTCGCAAACTGGGTTTTAAACTTGCATTGATGCAGATCCAAAAATGTATTATCATTACGTAACTAAATACACACACACATCCATGGAAGTAAATGGGATTATTGTTCTCGTTGCCTCAAAGTGAAGTCATGTTTGAAGGGCATAATATTTGACCGGGCAGAATGAAATGTGGAGCAGATGAAAGTACCACAGGAGTGGGTGAGTAATAATTACGGAGCATATTGCTGATAGATTTAGTTATCAGTACCATTCTCAGATTTCAGTTTGCTTTGAGAAAACCAGTGTTTATTTTGTAAACTTTTCACCTTTTATAAAAATACAATTTACTAAATACTGTCTGACATGTTACTGAGGAAAAAAAATGAGAGGCTCAGATTTGTTTCCTGGATCTCATGGTGACAGACCAACCCAACCATGCAGCTTGAAAGCAGGGCTAAGTGAAAGGACGGTCTTGTTTCAGAAACTCGGCTTGCCTCAATACCAAACTCAGAGACAGGTTTGCTGAGTAAATATCAGTGAGCCAGTGAAAATTCAGCTTCTGCTCTTTTATCAGGAGGGGCTCGCAATTCTCACCGTACTGTGTCAGTCTGGCTCAGTTGGTAGCATTCTCGCCTCTGAGTCAGAAGATTGTGAGTTCAAGCCCCACTTCAGATATTGGAACTGACATAGTCGATGCTGATACTCTAGTGCAGTGCGGAGGGTGTTCTGCATTGTTGGAAGAGCTGACCTTCAGAGGAGACGTTAAAGGCATCTGCCTTTTAAGGTGGACATTAAAAATCCCATGGCGCTATTTGATTTGGAAACAGAAGTGGGGTTTCTCCCAGTGTTCTGGGCAACAATCCCCCGAATAAAATTGATCATTCACTTCATAGCTGTTTGTGGGATGTTGCTGTGCGCAAATGGGTTGTTGGTTTCACCCACTTTACAGGAAGATCCTATGAAGCGCTTTGTGACATCCTCCTGATGTGATACAACAGCCATCTCCGCTCCCTAAAATCCCAAACCCACTGCTCGAGTGCAAGTGGCAGAAAACCAGCCTTACGATTCACCACCAGCTGTGGTGTAAGCATCTTCATATCTACCGCTGCTCCCTATCGCAAACAAAAACTGCGCACTACTCAAACATCATACTGGAGGGCAACAATAACTCCAAAATCCTATTCTCCACCGCTCAACACCTACTCCATGGGCCCCCTTAAGCACCCTCAATCATCACATTTAACACCAAGTGCAAAGAGGTCATGGACTTCCTTACCTTTAAAATTGACAACATCTGCCTGGCAGTTTCATCCTTCTGCTCCATGTCGTCTCCCTCACCCAGCCCGCCCTCAGCTCCTATCATGACCCCATCCTAAATTAATTTGCCCCCATCTATCCTTCCTCCCACTCATCCACTATCACCACAATGAAACCCATCACCTGCTGCCTCAACTCCCTCCCCACCCAACTGCTGATCACCCAGCTCCCCCTCCTCTGCCCACTGCTGGCAGACACTATTAACCAGACTCTCTCCTCAGGATCAGTCCCACTCCCCCTCAAAACTGCACCTCATTAAAAAACCTACCCTCGATCCCTCGGCCACTACCGCCCTATCTCAAACCTGCCCTTCCTGGCCAAAACTCTGGAATGCGTTGTTGCCGATCAACTTCATGCGCACCTCTCTCTCTACACCCTACTCAAACCCCTCCAGTCTGGTTTCTGCCTTGCACACAGTACAGAGACAGCGCTCGTGAAAGTCACAAATGATATCCTTTCTATCTGTGACCAGGGCTCACTCTGCCTCCTCATCCCCCTGTACCTTTCCGCCGCATTCGACACAGTCGATCACGCGATTCTCCTCCACCATCTGTCCTCCATCATCCACCTCATTGGGACCTCATTCGCTTGGTTCAAGTTTATCTTACAACCCGCCAGCACTACATTTCTGCAAATGGCTTTTCTTCTCGCTTCCAAACGGTCACCTGCAGGGTACCCCAAGAATCCATCCTTGGTCCCCTTCTCTTCCTCATCTATATGCTCCCTCTCGGTGATGTCATCCGCAGGCACGGGCTTAACTTCCACATGTATGTGGATGACTCTCAACTCTACTTTTCCACCTCTAGCTCCGACCACCAGTCCCCTGATGTTCTGTCAGCTTGTCTGTTGAATCTCAAGAGCTGGATGAATGCAAATTTCTTGCAGTTAAACGTCAACAAGACATAAGCAATAGTCTTTGGCTCCCGACGATGTCTTCTATCCCATGGTTCCGACCTCCTCAATCTACCGAACCTGTCTTTAAAACTCTCAGAACCCATACACAACTTAGACGTCAGGTTCGATTCCCAGTTATCCTTCTTCCCGCACATCCAGTCCCTGACCAGTACCGCTTTCTTTCAACTCCGCCACATTGCCCATCTCCGACAATACCTCACCCCAAAAGCTGCAGAAACCCTTGTCCATGCTTTTGTCACCTCTCGACTGGACTACTCTAAAGTTCTCCTCACTGGTCAGTATTCATGGTTGCACATTCCACCTCACCTAGCCAGTTAGGAACCTGGGCTTCTTGTTTGACCCTCAACTGTCCTTTCTCCACCATATCTGTACCATGACCCGCTCTATCTCCCCCATCTCCGCAACATTGCCCGACTCCACCAATGCCTCACCCCTCAGGCCACCGAAACCCTCATACATGCATTCGTCACCTCAAGGATCGACTACGGAAACTCCCTCCTTGTCGGCATCCCCAGCTCTTCCCTCCACAAGATGCAGATCATCCAGACTCCACAGTTCATGTCCTCTCCTCCACCAGGCTCTGTGACCCCATCCCCCCACCCTCGCCCAGCAACACTGCCTCCCCATCCCTCAGAGAATAGAATTCAAAATCCTCATCCTCACTTTCAAGGCCCTCCACAACCTTGCCCTCTCCTATATCTCTGACCTGTTAACCCTCTATCAACCTGTCCACTCCCTCCGATGAGCAGCCTCCGGTGTGCTCTAAGTCTCTCACCCTAGATCAGCGGCTGGGCTTTCAGCCTCTCTGCCCCCGGTCTTTGGAACTCCATCCCACAATCCCTTTGCCTTGCTCCCTCTCTTGCCTCCTTCAAAGCACAACTCAACGACTTTTGACTGTGCATTCAGGCGCCCTCCTACCCCCTCTGCCCTCCCTCATCCCAACCCTGCCCCCACGCTCGGGTCCTGATCCCTGACTGTTCAGCGCCTTAGGACATCCTCCCAATGTGAAAGGCAGTTTGCAAAGGTAATTTTGTTGTCCTTGTTCTTGAACATGATACCTCTTGCCTCTCAGGTATGTCACACATGAAGATGTTATTTGTTTTTTTTCTTGGGTTATGGATAGAGATAAAGAAGGATTCTGATTGACTCAGAACTGTTGGCAAGTTACTTGCCTACATTCCAATGGGAGTGAGCAAGAGCCAGTCAGCAGTGCAGAAGCCATGACTGCCATTGTTTGCTAAGCTCAGTGTAGCATTGCATCTGCATTCAGACCTCATGACATTGTAGAACTCTTTGGGCCAGATTGTCATCATGGAAGCCTCCATTTTTTCCCCCCATTTTGACCCACTGTCAACATGAACCACTCTCAAGCCAATGCACAACCCAGGCTAGGAATAGAATACAATTCTTGATCACACATGAACTAAATGCCTGTAATACATTTCTAAGTGCCACTGCTGCTATATTGATGCCAGTGTTTCGATCTCCCATCCGAATCCAACACTTTTGGCCTTTGCAATCAGATCCTGCTATTTATTTACCCTGATAAACTTTTTTTGTTCTGCTTATAATGGGATTTTTTGAATGGTTAGCGAGAAACTTTTCAGTCCCAGTAGGAATCCCAAGATTCCGTGTCTTTATCTTTTCATAGTTTGAAATCCCATTTATTCCAAGAAATAATTTTCTCTGAAGTGGTTTGACTAAACAGAAGTGTACTTTCATTACAAGCGCTGCAATGTTATCAGAAGGTGGAGAAGGTGGGTGGATGGGGGGGGAGTATGGGGCCTGGGTGGAGGCAAGGGGGAACACCCAGAGGGGAGGAGGAGGAAGCCACAGATTCATGGAAAGGTCAAGAAAAGATGGGTAGTATTTAAAGGGCACAGCAGTGACTTTCAAACATACATGTATCAGAAAGACAGCCCTTACATTGATTTATCTACTTTGTCATCACTTGTCTTTGCTTGCCTTTGATGCTATTAACAGCCCACAGAGCAGATTTTGCAATCCAAAAAGGGTTTTAGATAGGGCCTTCATCATCACCACTCACATAATAGCACCATACATCCAGCAAATCTCCTTAAAGGTACACGGTCATCACAATCGTGGCTTTTTGGCTGTTTGTGGGATATTGCTGGGTACAAATTAGCTGTTGCCTGCGGTCACTATATTTTACAGTATATCTGTGGAACAGGCTCCCTAGGGAGACCATTGAAGCAGGAAGTGTTGCTTCTTTCAAATACAGATTAGGTAGTTTTCTTTCAGGAAATAATCGGATATAGTACATAGGTAGTTTGGCATATGTGCCTGCCACCGCCAGGAAGGTGGAAGGCAAATGAGATGGACCTTTTTTTTTTGTCTAACATTTTTTATGTTCTTATGATCTTGGGTGAAGTGCTTTTGCATCACCATGCAAAATACTTTATATCAAATGAAAGAAATATTGTTAATAATTTCTATGTTGACCTAATTTGGCATAGTTCAACATATTAGCACTATTTAAAGGAACAGTGGAGTCCTGTAGCTCAGTGGTTAGAGTAGTAGCTTTGGAAGCAAGAGAGCTGGGTTCGATTCCCGGCAGGGTGAAACCTTGGGCAAGTTTCCTTACTCCACGCGCCTGATAATAATCCCTCAAGAAAAAAAAGCAATAACAATCTGATCATACAATGCACAACTGTTTGTGGGACACTGCTGTGTGCAATTGGCTGCCGCATTTCGCCCACAAATATACAGTCAATTCACTTTACAGTGTATTCTGTGAAGCGCTTTGACACATCTAGAAGATGTGAAAAGCGCTATATCAAATGCAAGGAATATTATTATTATTATTATTACTGCCACCTGTACTGTGCAATAATGACTAAATGTATCTATAGTCAAATATATTTAACTATTGGCTTGATATTCACCACTGGTCAGAAGGTTGATAGGACTTTGAGCTCAAAGTCTAGTCCGACAATCCAGACAAACACTCTGGGACGCTGACCTGA